GTCTACTAACCTACTGGCTTTGTACTTGGCCAGTCTCACGGTTCTCCCACTAGGCAACTCGTGCTTCAACACCTTCTTGTCCTAGTCAAACTGGGGCTTGGCAACCTCGAGGTAGTACATGCCCAATAACATGTCAAAGGGCAACTCGTCGCTCACCAGGAATGATATCTTATGGTTTATCTCTCCTCCTGGGTAGGAGAAGGTGCAGACTACATCTTTAACATAGTCCTCCACCATCATGCGCTCTTTGTTGGCGAAAGTAGATGCTACCGGTCTACTAAGGCGTTGCACCCGGTCCTTTAGGCACAGTCTGTTAACGCAATCGCGACTTATGAAGTTTCGCGTGGAGCCAATGTCTACGAAGGCGCCGCACTTGCGACCACCCACATCAACTTCCACAACGAAGTGCTCCCCTCTAGGACCTCTACTCAGTGCCACCTAGGACTCACGAGGATCCCTTGCCGACCACTCACCTTGAAGGTCCTCTAAGGCCTCAGACACATCCAACGTACAGAGTATAGTTGGGTCAGGATGCGTCTGCGGGGTGACTAAGGAGTCAATAGCTTTGGCCATCTCTTGAAACGGGGAGGGTACATCACCCGCTTCAACGAGAGTAGAAGTAGCATTAACTTCTACTGGCCCTAAGTGTTTCCCGGGTTGGAGCTCGTAGAGGCCCTAGATTGAGAAGAAGGAAACCCACCCTTAGGAGGGATCTTCTGCGAGACCTTTGGGTTCTTGCATTTGAACTGTGTGTGACCATACTCACCGCAGTTAATGCAAGCACCACGAGACCAACGGTCCCGCCACACTTCTTGATCCAGACCTACTCTAACCCAAGCAGCTATTTTGTTTGGGTTAGCGGCCTGCCCCTGACTCCTTTGTTGACCGCCCTTGTCGCGGCCAGCTGCCTTAGTCTTGACTACGGCAGCGAGGTTGCTACCCTCAGCACTCTCCTCGCCGTCAAACTCTGAACCCTCCACAAGATCGGAAACATCATCGATCTCGGTTTGATTCCCATCGGAATCAACCATCATCAATCGACTACCCTTCTTCTTCCACTCTTGTGGAGTCTTCTTCTTTCTCCCATCCGTAGAAGGGGTTTGAGCTCCACCCAGCGTAGCCTCTAAGTCTAGGGCCTTCTTGCTGACTGACTCAAATGTGTGATACTCTCTGCGAGCCTCGCTGACTAACCGATTCCTAATGTCTGTGGGAAGACATCTCAGGAACATGGTCAGCAAAACCTGTGGATTGTACTCCACTCCCGGGACGACGATCGGGCGCTCTACGACTTTGGTGAGTTCTCACACAGACTTGTACTTTCTAGTATCAAGTTTCAAGAGCCCATCAGTGGCAATCTGTGCCTGCTGAGGGTTGTGCCAACGAGCCTCCACCAAGTCCATAAAACTTTCTAATGTGTGGGTCTGCGCCCAATCATGCATGTTCCTGCCGAAGCCCTTTGAAGCTACCAATCCATTTAGCCAGCGAGCTGCTGAACCCTCTAAGTAGGATGCAGCAGTAATCACCTCCTCCTCTACCAATGTCCTCTTTGCCCTCACCCACACTGGCACCGTTCTCAACCAAGTGTCAAGAGCTTCATCCTTCTTGTCTCCTGAGAAGGTTGAAGGTGGGTTCAGGGGGGTCTTGGGATACCAAAGATATTGTTGTCCCGCTTGCGAGACAGATTGCGACTGTGATGTAGCAACAGTCGTTGGACCAGAAGATGAAGAAGCAACAGTCTGAGATAGAGCTATTGTTGATGATACACTTGGTGGTGGTCCTGATTGAGCTGCATAGAGGCCTGTCATCGCTGAGAGTGGCAGCGATTGTAAAGTTGCTGGTCGGATCCCTGGCTTATGCAGCGCTTGCAGAATCTGGTCTAGAGTATCCTGCATTGCGTCCATTTTACTACCTATGTACGCATGCATGGATAGGACACTTGCCTTCAGGATCTTTCCTATAGTGTTAAGTGTGGAGTCCTCTAATGCCTCTAGTGCAGCCATGTCTGCCTCCCTGCCCTCTAATCTGACACTTCTTTCTATTATCTCTTTCTCTTTTAGTAGTCTGTCTAAGTTCCTCCTCTAACCTTAAGCGGATCCTCTCTACTTGTGGGAGCTCCATCTGCTCCCGGGTGCGTGGAGGCGGCGAGCTGAACTGCGAGGCCCGCCATTTGACTAGTGCCAACCCCTGACGTACTGGAGATTGACTGTGAACTGGTCGGCATGCCTAGCCCTTGACCAGTTGAGTTCGCAGCAGTTGCTGCGGAAGTAGCCATTGCTACCGCTCTAGCTGCTGCTGCTTCTCTTGCAGCCTGAAGATTACGGGCTCTAACTTCAGCCCTTAATCTTCTCTCTTCTCCCGGTTGTAGGGAGTGGAACACTCTAGGAATTCTAAGGGATGATAGCCTTGTTAACCTCCTATCGTCATCTATACCTTCACCACCCTCTGATCCACTCATAGGTTAGGCAGACGCTGTCTGCACTAATGTCATCGCTGGAACCTACCGCAACATGCGTCTGATCGGATCTAAAAATAAATAAATAAGTGTCCGGCGAGTTACCTAGTCTACTAGTTAAGTGTCATCAACATCTACACAAACTGTACACATTATCTAATTCTATTATGATTAGTCTGCACAGAAGATTCGAGAAGAACTGACTATGGTAGATTACAGTCCGACTCTAGTCTGTCTGTTAGGTGTCAGCAGCCGGTTCAACCAACTAATCAAAATAAAACTTAGACTAATGTGAGCAGATGTATGCACAATGGATATGTTAGTGATGTACAATTGAGTTCACAACTGGAATCCCCTTCCCCTGTATCCAACGTACCTGTGAGCATCATCAAGCTGCGGTGTCTAAGGTGTGCAACCACGGCCCACCCCTGTGCCCAAGAAGTATGCTTATGACCAGCCTGCCCCTTTGTTTACCCTTGCGTGCAACGAGCCTTACGTCTGACTGATCTGGCTGATCAGGAGGGATTTAAAGAGAGCCCCCATCTCCTCAGGAATTATTTAACGTCGCAAACAGGACGACGATCACAGCCAGTGGACAGTTCAGACCCCAACCAGAAATTTCTATAGACGGTCTGGGAGCGTCTCAATAGGACTGGTCAGTCCGCACACCCCTTCTATCAGCGCAGCAAAGAGCCTCAATGGACAAAGCAGCCATCACATGCGTGTACTAATCCCATTGGGTTGGCATGGTGACCGTGACCCACGTGCTTCAACCAGGGCCCTTCAGAGGCACCGCCCTCTCCTGCCAGATGCGCCACCGGGAAGAATGTCGTCTCTCAAGATAGAGCACACACGACTCCTTACCAAAGAGAGGACACTCAAGTTGGACTCACTTCCTCACGGTAAG